TACCCATAAAATAAAATGGCCCTGGAAGGTACAGGTAGGACCCAAGTGGTGTGGCCTACTTGCACCTTGGGGGAGACTATTGGAGGTGGGAGGCTCAGTAGTCCTTCCAGTAATAGGTACATGGCCTACTGATATTGTGGTCAACACTCCGATCTTTATCGCTGAAGGGACCCCCATCATGTCCCTGTGGCAGATCAGGGCACTCCCGTTTGGTGCCTGATATCATTATGCAGCCACAGACATCTGGCCAGAAGATGTGGTACAGGCGGCCAGGATGTGCCCCAGTACAAGCGGAAGTGTTGACCCAAGACAGAAATACGGCCTGTATCTTGCCCTGGAGAGCAGACCTTCCCCTCCTGGTACCTCTGAAACATCTGTATTACTCCCTGTGAGTCTGTGAGCCTTCAGGATCACCAGAAGGAACAAAATGCCATCAAGTGTTCCAGTGTTGCTGTCAGATCACGTACAACACCCGGTGATGGTCTGCATGGGACTGATGGAACATAGAACGGACCTGCACCTCATGATCTCATGCCTCCAGTCACATCATCGAGCACTGGCTCATAGAAGAACATGGACATGCACTGATCATTACTCATCTTGAATTGTACCAACACACATCGCGATGAAAATTGTGTAAGCGTTGCGATATAGTGGATCTCTGTATTAAGGAAAGCTTACCCTTTAGTCAACCTGATCATTGGTTCACGCCGTGAGGGGGTGGAGTGTATGGGAACTGCTGAGTCAGGGCCTGAACCTCTGATTGATCACCTGAGGCGAGCCATGAGTCAGCCAGAGGAGCACAGGTGAAGGCAATTCACCTGTGCTGCTGGAAGGGGGGGAGCCTGGCTCCACCCCTCCTAGACCTATTTAAGAGCTGGCTACCAGTAAGTAAGGTTTTTTTTTCTGGTGATTGACCTTGCTGCAATTTTGTGAGTGAGCCCAGGATAGGTGTAAGCCTTCTATTTGTTTGGGTTTTTTTTAGTTATTATTGTTTGCTTGGTGAAACACTTTTGTTTATTTCATTTTTATAGCATCTTAAGAATCTCTATTGTTTATTTCTTAATTATAGCGTCCTCATATTCATTGATTATACAGAAACTATTCAAATATATCATCTAGAGATATTTCCTGGGGCAGGATCGCTGTGGGTGGCAAGTTGTGTGGGAGGATGTTAGTAGGTATCTATCGGAATTGTTACCTCTGGGTCTGGAACTCACCCTTGAACAAGTGTGGAGCCCTAAAAAGCTGATGGCGTTTTATGAAAAGGTATGCCCTGATCCTGGCAATGCAGCTGGTTTACAGTTTGCTGCGTTGTGCTGAGGCGTGGTCTGCACCTATCAAACACTGTTCAACACTATTAGGCATCTCCAAAAAGAAAGAAAATGCCTCTGGATCAGAGAACCCACCAGTGCCAGTGTCTGTTGTTTCTATAAACAAGATAAAAAAAAATGCTACAGTAGTCATATCGTTTAGTAAGGAAATGCCTACAAAATTCGTAAAATCACCAGTGTTGGAAGAGATCTCCAACATCATTTAGTCTAACTGTCTACCTCCCCCCAATATTTCCCCACTAAACCATGTCACAGTACGACATCTAAATGTTTCTTGAGCATTTCCAGGGATGGTGACTCAGCCACCATCCTGGACAGCCCATTCCAATGCCTGGTCACCATTTCAGACTAAAGAAGAAAATAAAGAAGGCCATCAGAAAAATGGGAGGAGGTGGGAAAGACAGAAACAATCTGTCCCATGATTATGAGTGAGCTGTGAGATATGTGAAAAGATTACAGGCAGCTGAGCACATTGCTATCTGGCTGCTCTGGTGCTGGGATAGTGGGGCCTTTAGCCTGGACTTAGTGGGCAGTGAAGCCAAGCAGCTTTCAAGGGTATGTGGCAATGACAAAGCATTTGAAAAAGGGAGGCAGTCTTTCACCCTATGGAGGCAACTCTTGTCAGCTGCAAGGAAAGATATCCCTTTAAGGGTGACCTGGTATATTATCCAGGCAAATGGATTTTCATGGAGAAAGGTATCAAGTGCTTGAGGGAATTAGCTGATCTAGAGGTTATGTGTGACATTAATTTGAGCAATAACATATTAATCCGAACTATACATGACATTGGGTGCATGCAACCTATGTGGTGGAGAGTTCTATGGAGTGCACCATCATCGTATATCAGCATCATGGCAGGAGTGATATGGAAAGGTAATAAAAGACCAATGGTGGATGAAGTGGCTAACGTTTGACAACATGAAGAAAAATCGCTTCCTCCCTACAGGCCTGTCACAATTGTGGAAAAAATGTACCAGGAGTTCCAGCAATTCAAAGACAATATGTATAACACTCCAACTGCATGGATCGGTATCTCAGATATTAGAAAAAAGCATTCTTCTGCTCAAGATAGAATATAGTGGGTACACACCATGTACCATCCTGTGGTTTTACATGAGTGACCATGAAGAGGATATGAGGAAACAAGATGGAAAATCCACCTTGAACCTATAATCATAGGTATGTGAGTGGCAGGGGAAAATGAGAAGGTTCCTCTAGGAAAATGGCAGCTCTAGTTTCCAGTGGGCAGTATCAGGTAGAGTAGATGTTCTCATCTTATTTCTGAGGTTGACAATGAGCATTCTGGTTCTCATGCATAAGAAGTGAGCAATGAATACTATAATCAGAACTAGAGGGGCTCTGTCTTCAACCAGGTGGAAGAGAGGGACAATCAGATTTATTGGACTGTGAGGATTTGATTGCCTGGCACATCAGAACCATAGGAATATAAGGTTCCAGTGGACACTGGTGCACAGTGTACTGTAATGTCACCAAGTTATAAAGGGGCAAAACCTATCTGCATTTCTATTGTGACAAGAGTTATCACAAGATCTAATTGCTTTGGAGGCAAAAGTGAGCTTAATCGGAAATGAGTGGCAAAAACAAGACTGTGTCTGCCCCAGATGCTCCATGCGTTCTTGACATAGATTACCTCAGTAGAGGGTACTTTAAGGACCCAAAAGGGTAGCAGTGGGGTTTTGGACTGTGGATACTATTACACTGGTTATCCAAGAATATGAAATATACATTGCAATTAAGCAAGCCAAACAGATCAAGTCTCTCTGGTATGGAAGATGATGGCTGAAATTTAAATATAGAGAGGCCTGGCAGGTGGATTATATTATACTCCTACAAACTCACCATGGCATGCGCCATGTACTTATAATAGAAGCAACCACTGGATAGCTGGAAGCATATGCCATGTCCCATGCAATCTCCTGAATCGGTATCCTAGTTCTTGAAAAGTAAGTCCTGTGGCAATGTGGCTCTCGAGAAAAAAATGGAATTCATTTCCAAAACAACCTCATAAACACCTGGACATTGGCATTGAGTAGGTATATCGCATCCTATATCATGCACTAGCCTCTGGGAAAAACGAATGATACAATGGACTGTTAAAGACAGCAATGGGTGCTGTCTTTAAAAATTAAAAAATTTAAAAGTTTTTCTTAACTCTGTCTGCGTTGTTTATCACTTCTGATGGCTGGCTTAGGATTTTTTATGGTTTTGACGGTTTGTATATAGCATGTGCTCATGTTATATCGGTCATGGATTTTATTTGGTACTTCTACTCAATTGTGCCATCATCCTTAGACTTCAGGAACTTTACAGTAGAAACTCTTAATAAGCACACTCTCTACTCCAGGCAAGCTAAAGTATTTGTTGAAAATTTTGAATATATGTGGCGTATTCAAACTGGCATGATCTTATTGCTGTGTCTTCTGCATGTCTTTCTGTTTTTGTTTATGGTTAAGAAACTATTCAAAAATATCATCTAGAGATATACCCTGGGGCAGGATGACTGTGGGTGGCAAGGTGTGTGGGAGGATATAAGCAGGTAACTATCAGAACTGTCACCTCTGATGGGTCTGGAACTCACCCCTGAACAAGTGTGGAACCTTAAAAAGCTGATGGCATGTTATAAAAAGGTATGCCCTGATCCTGGCAGTGCCACAGATTTACAGCTTGCTGCACTGTGCTGGGGCCTGGTCTGCACCTATCAAACACTATTCAACACTATTAGGCATCTCCAAAAAGAAAGAAAATGCCTCTGGATCAGAGTACCTCCTGCGACAGATCCTGCGGCTGGATCAGAGAACCAACCAGTGCCAGTATCTGTTGCCTCTGTAAGCAAAATGAAAATATTTTAAGGTTCTGTACAGATGTATGCCAGTATTATTGATGTTTGTGAAATATGCCTCCTTTTTTTTGACATCAAACAATCAATGGAAATTAAAAAAAAAAAAAACCTGCCATCATCTACTCAAGGCAATTGCTACACTTTTCTTGAACAGATTCTTTCTAATTGCAGATTTCTACATTAGCAATTCTCAATTGCCTTTTTTATATGGATGTCCCTAAAGAAAATGTATTTATTTTACCATTGTATTTCTTTGCAGAGAGATGGCTGCCTGCATCTCCTCTCCCATTTTTCCAACTCCAACACTGAAATGACTTGAGTATGGCTGCTACCCTTTTGGTCAATGACAGACAAAAATACCAGTTCACTACTTCCACTGTTGTCTTTGAAAGCAATGTCTGAGTTCATCTGTTCTCATGCCATGAAGATACGGTTGCATCACACTCTACAAACATCTACTAGTATGATCATTAATTCATCAGTTATTTTAACAGACGGTTTCTGTTGTTCATACTACCAGATTCAAAATCTTCATGGTATGCACTAAATCATTCACACAAGTTTCCAGATTACTCCCTGTACAGACAGACTTTATGCTACTGCTCTAAATTAACTTCCTGTGTACCTCCAACTGAAGAGGATAGGACAAACTGCAGGAACAAGGCCTTCTTGCTGATGAAGACGCTCAGGTCACACATCAGGCTTTGTACAAGAAAACAGCAACAGATTTTTGCATGTATTAAACAGGAACATTGAAATGTATTGAAAATGCAGTTCTAGGCTGTTCTATGTAAATTTATATTCACCTTAGCTCCAAATTCAACCAGATTTGCTAAATTCTGCACAGACTTGGCAACCAGCGTCAGCGTTCTTGCAGCAGTAGGGGAAGGGGAATCTGAGAGGAACAGAAAGCAGAGAGTTACTGACCATTTCATTTGAAATTACCACCAGTCACATGAAAATTAAGTTCTTCTACAATTTTATTTTAAAATGGAATTAATTAATTTGAATTTTGTAACAGAACTACATGTGGAAAATCTCATGGTCAAGTAAACTTTTTGCTTTATTTTAGTAATCATGTCCACAGAAAAATATTAATAGGTATATCTGACTTTCTGTGCTAGTTGCTTATAGAACAAAGTAAGCAAGTGTTCCTCAGAAGCTTTAGGTTAATAGACATACTAGCTATTGGATCTGTAAGACTTCAACTACATGTAAGTTTAAAAGGCCCAGAGACATTTCTAGGTGTTTAAGCCAACTGTCATGGAAGAATTTGTGTCCTAACCATTATAGTTTCACAACAGAGGCCAGTTGCGTCAGATGTGGTTCCCTAATGCATGTCAGCAGCAAATCACACCTAAGAACTGTTTGGGAGAATGCCGTTTGATATGAGCCAGAACTATACTGCAGATCAGTATAGCAATTTCACCATGGTGTTCTAGATAATGGGAATGGTCACTGTCACTGTTTTATTTATTGATATAGAGGCATTCTAGAAAGAGAGCATCAAAGAATGGCTAACACTTTCTTTATTCAACTATTCAACACTTTTAACATTTGCTTTAATAGTTCTGATTGGATTGCCTAAGTATGGCTTTTAGTCAAACAAGATTACTATCTCAAGTCCACACAATCCATCCTTCTTAAATGCTATCCCTCTCATCTTTAAGTACAGTCAGTCTCAAATGAGGAATCCTGATGACTCAAAGTAGAGACTTCTTCAGCTTCTAGAAGTTATTTAAGCAAAAATTTCAGACAAATTATTCAAGCATAATTTTTAGGTGCATAAATGTATTCCAGGCTCTGCAGGCATTTTCAACTTTATAGATCTTGTTCATCTAAGAGATGCATTTATTGTTTTTTTGGGATCCTCCCCTCACTCCTGGAATATATTACACACTGCTAGAGCTCAACATTATTTTATTTAAACACCTATAAAGAATGCTTTGGGAATAAACCCTGTCTAACCTTTGAGGGTAAAAACCATGTGCTGGCTCCTTTGGTGAGAAAGTCAATCAACTGTTGTTACGGACAATGTGACTTTGGACATGGTGTTCAAAAGACTTCATATTTTGTTAAATTAGGCACTAAAGTAAGTTTCAGTATAACGCTACTTAAAGCATGAATTCAGTCTGAAGCATAATCACCTGAGATGATATTAAACATCCTTGGATTCAGTATAGCAGGACAAATCAGTCGAAGAAAAACAAAGCCACTGAAATTGGAAGAAAATTGTATTCTGTTCAATAATTAAGTTAAAGAATAATGTAAAATTATTTAGCCTTTAAGCAGTTAAGTCAGTTTGAAAACCTTTCTGAGATATGTGACAATCAGTCAGCCAGCACTCCGTAAATATGTATGTTAATTAATAATTTATTGTTATGTTTTAAATTGTGAGAAAAACTGAAATAAAAATGGGCATACTGATTTCCCAATTAAGGTGAACTTCTGAAACCACTTGGGAAAAGCTTAACTGTAAAGCCATACTGAAGTCTGCAGGCTAAGACTGCACTGGCTTTAAGGAGGAGTACTTGGTCTCAGAAGTGAGGCATGTAGCAGTAGGGTTAATATATCTTCTGTCTAAGACATATGAATTCTAATATGTTGTGCTATAGAAGTTTCCCATTTCTGTATGGATTACAGGCTGACAAGAGTCAGTGTGAAACAAAAAATATTTTTTGTGGGATAAACTTGAAACTATGAGGAAATAAATAATTTTGAAGTCGTGGCAAATACACAAATTTCTCTTTTAGATGACCTGAAGTGAAAGACAACTAGGATATGAACCTAAGACGGATCTTGCAGTTACAGAAGATTTGGTGCTTCTTACAGTGTTCAAGCTAAATTAAGAATGAGTCAATACCTACATAGGGGTTTTTACAACCAGACACCACTTATTGAACGATATAGAAGGGAAGATACCCAAACACTTACAAACTGCCCACCTGTCTCTGAATACTTAAGTATTCTTGGATCAAAATCAGTGCAATAAAGCGTAATATTCTTCACTGGAGGCTGCAAAAAATTATACTCCAGAGACAAGTCAGAAGTATTCATTTATGAAGGCTAAGGTGATGTGAAAAGGGCTCAGAATTTATAACATCCATCAGAAATCCCAGGAAAACTATGAATGAAAAATTTACCAATTTAAGGAAAGCCATACTGCAGTTCCTGGAGGTAGAAGAAAAATACCACGTCTCTCTGTTCTTTCCTAAGTTCTGTATTTTTGCAATAGGTAACCCCAACATCTCTGATAAGAGTAGCCTCAATTTGAAGGCAAACCCCATCCCAAGTCTGCTGGTACTTAGGGACGTGGTTTAGTGGGCAATATTGGTGGTAGGTGGATGGTCAGACTAAATGATCTTAGAGGTCTTTTCAAACCTTAATGATTCTATGATTCTATGACATAGGTCGAAGTGATAAACAAGAGCTAATGACCAATGATCTGGTATATTGTTCAATGAAAGATTAACCAGTAAATCATATCAGTAACAGATATAATAATAATAATAATAAAATAAAGTGAATGTAGAAGAGATGAATCACTGATATCCTTAAACTTCCAGTTTTAGAAAGAGAGTATCAAGATTAAGAAAGACAGTCATTTAGAAAGACAATGTCAAGATCTCATTTTTGTCAAGGATTTTTGCTTGGCCTGAACTGGTTGGCAATTGACAGTGTTAAAGGAAGAACTAATTATTCAATTGGTTTAGGAACACAAACTGAAGTTTTTGTACTCAGTGACAGTTTGGAGGAGCCAGGTTCAGTAGCCTGCAACATGTTTACGAAGGTTCTAGAATGTTTCAACATGATTGGGATGGAGCAGAGAAATGAAACAAAACTGAAACACCATAGAATTATATGTTTTCAGAAATGAACACTCCATTGATTCTGAGTGATCAACACTGGGAGACTCTACTGATGTAGAGAGCTATATATATATTCCAGTGCAGACAGTACATCACTGAAATCTAATGACAGTCCAATAATCTTTTTGAGAAGATATTAGTTTCCTTATGTTGGTTTTGCATTTCAAAGGACCTTCATCTTAAAGCGCAAGATGCACTACATAGGAGTTCCTGGATAAGGCATAGTCCTCCCAAATTGCATATGACAGGAATATCATCTCGAGAGATCACTGCTCTCTAGAGGTATTACAAAGGTTAATTATCACTTTCAGTTTTTCTCTTTCTCAGCATAAAAAAAGGAAATTAATATTTTAGAATAGTCTGCAAAACAACAAATATAAGTCAGTTCAAAGTTAAAGCTATTAGGTAAAGCTATACTGAACTCTATAATACATCTCTAGAAAAGTCTGTAACAGCATGACTAAATCTAGTGAGCTCTCAAACATTAATTGGGATATCATGCTCCAGTACCATAATGATCTTAAATATTATTGTAACCTATATAAGTACTATTAAGCTTTGGCATGGAAAGAATAATACATAAACACACTGAAGTATGACAATAATGAGATATTAAAAGATAATTTTCAACATAGAACAAAATGAAAAGTAACATACCTAACAACTCTTGTTCTCATATTGGTATTAGATGGCCACTTGCTTTGAACAGACTTCTGCAAACATCCGTAAATATATCTCAACGTCCTGTAAAAATAATAACTAATTACTCATTCTGTTAAAAATTTCACAGAATCAAAAAAGCTGGTCAGAAAGGATATAGTCCTACCTCCAGCTTAACGCAGGACTATTATCGGTGCTAGGTTTATTATTCAGACATAAGCTTTAAATTAACTTAAAATCTGTTACGACAGTACATATACAAATGGCAAGGAGTCCTTGACTAATACACAATTCTATATGTACAAGTAAAATTCTGATTTATTCTATATGCATTGAAATGTTTTGTTTCTTATTTCTTAAATATTCCTCTCCTTTCAAAAATGAGAGCACTCTGGTGTATTTCAGAAGATGTTGAGATACACCATTGTCATGGTTTTATGATTTTTTGTTAACCGTATTCCACATCATAACATCATGTAGTGCACTGGGAGTTAAAGAGTTAATGCTCCAGTTCTGTGTACCTGTCCCAGAAGAGAACAACTACATACCCCTGAGGACTGTTCACTGTTCTGTTACTGTTTCCACTCAGAGGGAAAAGATAAAAGCATTCACATAACATCCCCTGCCCCATTTTTGCCATCTAGCTTGTCTCTGTTGTGGGTGCCTTCTTGTCACATCATCAGAGTAAGACGAATTGAGACAAATGATACAATGGACTGTTAAAGACAGCAATGGGTGCTGGGGCATTCAAACTTTGGGACACATATTTAGGAAAAGCTACCTGGTTAGCTAACACTCAGGGATGTGTGAATTGAGCTTGTACAGTCCAATCAAATCTCTTGAATAATTTAGGAGATAGAGTCCCTGTAAGTGCACATAAAAAACATACTGGGCTAGAGAGACTGGGTTATTCCTGCTTTGGGCAAAGGTAAGCCCAACAGTGGGATTGCTTTTGCTTAAGGACCTGAATATGCTTGGTAGGTAATCTGGATGTGGATTTCCTGAACATCATGAACATCCTGAAACCTGAACATCCGCAAGTCCATGGGTCCCAATGAGATGCATCCCAAAGTCCTGAGAGAATTGGCTGAAGTAGTTGCCAAGCCCATCTCTGTGATATTTGAAAGGACGTGGCAATCAGATGAAGTCCCTGGCAACTGGAAAAAAGGTAACATCACACCCATTTTTAAGATGGGTAAAAAGGATGATTGCGAGAACTACCATCCTATCAGTCTCACCTCTGTGCCAGGGAAGATCAAGGAGCAGATCCTCCTGGAAGCTATGCTAAGGTATGTGGAAGACAGGGAGCTGATACAGGAGAACCAGCATGGCTTCACCAAGGGCAAATCCTGCTTGACCAACCTAGTGGTCTTTTATGATGCTCTCACTACATCAATGGACAAGGGAAGAGCCAGTGATGTCATCTATCTGGCCTTCAGTAAGGCCTTTGACACGGCCCCCCACAACATCCTTCTCTCCAAGTAGGAAAGTTGTAGATTTGATGGGTGGACTGTTCAATGGATGAAAAACTGGCTGCAGGATTGAGTCCAGAGAGTGGTGGTCAATGGCTCCATGTCTGGATGGAGATCGGTGACGAGTGGTGTCCCCCAGGGGTCGGTGCTGGGACCGATAATCTTTAAGATCTTCATTGGTGACATTAACAGTGGGGTTGAGTGCACCCTCAGCAAGTTTGCTGATGACACTAAGCTGTGGGGTGCTGTGACACACCAGAGGGATAGGATGCCATCCAGAGGGACCTAGACAGGCTTGAGCAGTGGGCCCAGGTGAACCTCATGAGGTTCAGCAAATCCAAGTGCTAGGTCTACACCTGGGTTGAGGCAACATCTACTACCAACCCAATCTGGGGGAAGAAAGGATTGAGTGCAGCCCCACCAAAAAGGACTTGGGGGTACTGGTGGATGGCAGCAGCTGGACACAAGCCAGAAGTGTCCCCTCACAGCCCAGAAAGCCAACCGTATCCTGGGCTGCATCCAAAGCAGCGTGGCCAGCAGGGCGAGGGAGGTGATCCTGCCCTTCTACTCTGCACTGGTGAGGCCTCACCTGGAGTGCTGCGTCCAAATGTGGAGTCCTCAGTACAGGACAGAGATGGAGCTGTTGGAGTGTGTCCAGAGGAGAGCCACAAAAATGACCCAAGGGATGGAACACCTCTCCTATGAGGGCAGGCTGAGAGAGTTGGGGCTCTTCAGCCTGGAGAAGAGCCAGTATCTAAAGGGGAGCTACAGGAAAGAAGGGGACAGACTCTTTAGCAGGATCTGTGGTGATAGAACAAGGGGAAGTGGCTTCAAGCTTAAAGAGAGTAGAGATGATACACCAATATTTCTAGCTGTTCCTAAGCAGTGTTGTACAGAGCAAAGGCCATTCCAATTTCCTCAGCTCCTACCAGCAAGTGGCTGCAGGGACCAAAGGAGCTGGGAGGAGACGAAATCAGGACAGCTCAATTAAATTGACCAGAGGGATATTCCATGTCATATGACATCATGTGGAAGAAAAGTTTTGAAGGGGGTGGGAATTCATCGGACTTTGTTCTGCTGTTCAGGGACTAGCTGGGCATCGGTTGGCAGGTGGTGAGCAATTGCTTGTTCATGCATATATATATATAATATATTTGTCATAACTATTATTCTTTTCTTCCTTCTCTCTTGTCTCTATTGTAGTAAACAGTTTTATCTTAACCCATGAGTTCTACTTTGTTTTTTGTTTTTTTTTATTCTCTCCTCTATCCCACTGGGAAGAGGGGAAGTGAATGAATGGCTGCGTGATCCTTAGCCACCTGCCAGGTTAAGCCACAACATACAGTAAGAATTATCCAGGTTAAAAAAGAATGAATTCTGATGGAACCAGAACTGGATTCAGCATGTATTAATACAATACTGTGCATCATCTCTCATGCCCTAAAGAACTGTTATGACAGATGGAGCCCAAAGTCATAAACTAAATGAACTCCATGGACAATTTACATGGATGGCCTATAAAGCACAGGAATTATATCTGTGTGTATACATCAAAAAGCAAGATAGATGATGATAATTAGAATGTATGGAAAATTGTGGGACCTGAGCAAGATGTAAATGGTATGGTATAAGAGGTGGATATTGTCTTAGTTCCATCTGGGACAGAGTTGTTCATAGTGTCTAGTATGATGCTGTGTTTTGATTTTAGGAGAAAAACAATGTTGATAACACACCAATGTTTCTAGTTGTTGCAGAGCAGTGATGTACAGAGCCGAGGATGTTTCAGCTTTCTCAGTTTCTCATACTGTCTTACCAGCAAGGGTGCTGGGGGCACAAGGAGCTGGAAAGGAACAGAACCAAGACAGCTGACCTAAATTGGCCAAAGGGATGTTCCATACCATATGACATCAAGTCCAAAAACTATTAATCTGAGGCAAGTTGGCCAGAGGGAGGGGGCACTGCTTGGGAACTGGATGAACACGGGTTGGTGAGTGGTGAGTAACTGCATTATGCATCACTTTTTTATTCATTTAGTCTATGACTTGGGCTCCATCTGTTACTTTGGTCACTTGGGACCCGACTTTGGTGCCCAGGTGACTGGGCACCAAAGCCCGCTCAGGTTGATTTATTGCTGTGCTTGCCTGGACTCTTGCAAGGTTCATCTTTCATTACTTTGGGTGGTTCCTGTTATAGTACTTCCTATAACATACAACTCAAATCATGTATTAGAACAGTTTATATACTTTACAATCTCCACCCCTTATCCCTTTGGACTATGCTACAGAGTTTGTTACAGTCATAGAATCATAGAATCACAAGGTTGGAAACGACCTATAAGATCATCCAGTCCAACCGTCTCCTCATCACCATTGCCTCCACTAGTACTAAACCATATCACGCAGCATGTCGTCTAGACGCCTCTTGAACACTGCCAGGGACAGCGACTCCACCACCTCCCTGGGCAGCCATTCCAGTGCCTGACCACTCTCTGAGAGAAGAAGTTCTTCCTTATGTCCAACCTAAACCTCCTCTGATACAACTTGCGGCCATTGCCCCGTGTGTGAGAATCCTTCTTTGGTGTTGTTTTTTTTTGGCTCAAAGCTTGCTTCCTGAGGTTTTTCTTGTGATAAGACTCTGAGTGACTTGTCAAGGAGGCAAGTGATGGGTGCTAACCTTGTGACAATCGATATCGCTTTGGGAACATTTGAAAGCCCCTTCCCCCCCAGAGCTGCTTGCTCTGTAGAAGAGCAGAAGAGAGTGCTCAGGAGTGTTCACTGGTAGAAGATCTGGCCTGTGGCCAAACCGCTCCAGCTTGTTATGGGAGGCTGGGGGACAATACCATTGTATCCTGCGAAGGCAAGATACAAGTTGGTGCCTCCCCGCTTCCTCTTATCTGCCGGCAAGGCCAGAAAGATAAGAACAAAGGAGGTTCCTGCTGAGATCCCAGAGCCAGAAGCTGCCACCGCAAGGAGAACTGACTCAACCACCTTGGGTTTCAGCTGTCACTCAAAGGAGAGCTGACTCGACCACTTTGGATTTGAGCTGTCACTCCAAAGATAGCTGACTCAACCACTTTGAAGCATTGAAAAAGGGCCATCATCACCATGGTTGTTGTTGTCGTTGTCAACAGAGTAACTCTGCCGGACGACCTACCGCTACTGAAGATCAAAGACTGAACTATGAACCACGTTGGATCCATGGTGGTGACTATCTCCCTCTTGCTGCCTATAAAGACCCCTTGCTTCTTCTTCTTTTCTATCTTTTCTATCTTTTCTATCGCCCTCCTTCCCTTCCCTATTACCCTAATTCATAATAGTGTCCGTCCTCCCCTTCCCCATTTCCCTAATTAAGATTTGTGATAAACTGGTTGGACCAACATTTGAACCGTTGCTTCTTAATCTCACGCCGGGTATATAGATGGTAAAAGAACCTCCTCTCCCTCCTATAAATTGGAGCGAGACACCATGTCCTGCTCGTTGCCTGGGAGAAGAGGCCAAATCCCTCTTCACCACAACCTCCCTTCAGAAAGTTGTACAGTGCAATGAGGTCTCCCCTGAGCCTCCTCTTCTCCAGTCCTTTTAGGCGGATACCTGTTCTGTCATGGGCTTATGCACAGGCCACAGTCCCTTCATGAGTGTACCTCCTCCAGCATGGATTTATCTACAGGCCATAGTTTGAAAGTGGAGTTCATCATAGAATCATTAAGGTTGGAAAGACCAATTAGATCATCTAGTCCAACCATCAAACCATGCCTGTGACAGCTCTAGTCCATGTTGCTCAGTAAGTGAAGGGTGGGCTACCTCCCCAGACCAGCCTGTCTTTTGGAATGGGCTCTGACATTGGCAACACATACTGGGTTCCACTTTGAGCCCCACATCTTTCCCCCACAACATTTAAGGCACTGGTAAGTGCACAAGTTGATCATTTTCCTCCATATAGCTTTCCAGCCACTCTGTCCCACCGGACCCATGCTGTGGGAAGGGAAGGAGAAGGGAAAAGGTAGGGAGATGAGCCTGGACGAAGGATAATGGTGGCAACGAGCTAAGGAAAAACTTGATTTACTAAATAAAGTGATGGAATATGAAATAACAATATAATATACTATGATTGGAATTGAAGCTAATAATTCAAATGAAAAGAGGAAGAGATGGTGTCCAAAACCAAAGTCCTTACACTGATGTCATAGGGGGAACGGCCAGGGAGCATAGAGAGACAGTCTCATTACACTCAGTCAGTTTTATCTTTCCCTCTGAATGGACAACAGAAACAAAAAAAATGAAGCCTTCTGGGAGTTGTAGTTCATTCTTCACTACATAGATCACCATACTGGAACTATCAACAATCCATGGAACTGCAGCGATAAGCCTTTAACTCCCAGTGCACTGCATTGTATTATGATGCGGAATACCGGTGGGAAACCATAAAGCCATGACATTCCACCTGTTATTCCACATCACGCTGAATATATACATAAACCAACAAAAATAAATAACATGAATTAAACACACACATATATTTACACAGAATTACTGCTGACTACACTCCCCCAAACATCAAATTCCCTTGTGGTACACGTTGAACATCCCCATTTTTCTGGATCACTCATCAAGTGGACCCAGGTCCCTGAGCAAAAACAGTTCCACAGACAGATTGGCCCTTGCCTGAAGCTGGGAAGACCAACAACTTTTCCCAACATGCTCTTGACATGTACTACTGGAACCTTATCTCCCTCTACAGTATGTAGGGAGCAAGACTGGGCAGGACCATCTCAGTTTATAGATCCTTGAGGACTGACCAATCAGTACTGACTCAACAGTAATTCCCGTCTCATCCACACCGGTTGTCTTCCCCTACGGTTCGCCTTACGGCACTCAGGGACAGCCTGTTCTTGTGCCTTTATGATTTTAGTCTTGAGGAGCGTCCAGGCTTCCTGGGCCCCTTTACCCTTGAGAAGCGACTCCCAAAGGACCCGCGCCATAAGCACCCTGAACAGATCAAAGTCTGCCCTCTGGAAGTTCAAGAAGGTAGATAAAAATAACTCTCCCTTGTGTTGCCAGTCCAAATCTATTTGAGCCACCTTAATTCTGGCAGCTTGATCTACCTGATGGTTATTTTGTTGTTCTTCAGTAGCCCGACTCTACTCTACTCCACCCAAATCCACTCTAGCCATTTGCTGCAGAGACTTGCTTCTGAGCAGGTAGGTCTGTGCAGGCAAGGGATCTGGAGTAAGAAAAGGCCAACCAAAAAGCTCTTTTTAAGGCTTTTTTAGGGCTTTTTTTGAGGCTACCATCAGCACTGCACTTGAGCTGGGAGCTGGCAGCTTGTGGGCAGACTCCTGAGTCACCAGAGGTGGAGCTGACACATTAGCAGCACAGTTTAAACACCTGCCCACACCTTCACACCTTCGCACCTGATAATAAGCCTTAAATAGCTCCTGAGAGGGTGGAGAGGCTTGGGGATGAGTGTGAAGAAGAGAAGGACCTGGGGGTGTTGGTTGATGCTCGGCTGAACATGAGCTGACAGGTGTGCCCAGGTGGCCAAGAGGGCCAAAAGCATCCTGGCCTGCATTAGAAATAGTGTGGCCAGCAGGAGCAGGGAGGTGATCATCCCCCT